ATTTAAGATATCTTTGACATTAAAAGTGATTTTAAAGAATGCAACGTTACTAAAAAAAGATTAGAATACAAAATTCCAAATATTTTTATTTTTTTACCTTAAGCAATAGTACATTATTTAATTAAAGAGCTTAATTTTGAATTAATTTGAAAAATGGAGAAGCAAAGTGGAATAACATAAACCTGAATTTGATCTATTTTCTCGAGGGGAAAAATAGAAAAATAGAAAATTTAAGATATCTTTGACATTAAAAGTGATTTTAAAGAATGCAACGTTACTAAAAAAAGATTAGAATAAACACAAAATTCCAAATATTTTTATTTTTTTACCTTAACCAATACTACATTATTTTCATTTTTATTCAATGGGTGCCCCCATGTAGTCGGCGCCCATGATTGAATCACTCAATTCTGATGATCATTTCAGCCAGTGTTGTCACAATTACGATTCCCGTGAGTGGGATTACTTGTGGTTTTTTAATGGACAGCATTGGTCGTCTCAATACCGTTAAATTGGCGATGATACCTGCAGTGGTAGGATGGATCATCATCGCGACGTCGAAGAGCGTCTTGATGATGATTATAGGGCGGATAATCACAGGATTCGCGGCTGGTGAAAATTCAAATAAAGTAAAAACTTTCAAATCAATTTGCATAATTTTAGCTTGGGGCACTAGTCCCGCCATGGTCTACATTACTGAGATTGCTAGAGCCGATATGCGAGGATCTTTGATGTCTTTTGCACCGGCGTACACCTCGTTAGGTAACTATCTATCGCTTTCACATTTCAGAGATTACGACATGACTGTGTCAAAAAACATAATTCTTGAATTGTGCTGGAAGCTAGCGAAAAATTACAAGACGTTCCAGAATTCACAAATTCTTTAGGACCTTTAGAAATGGAAAAACCGTTATATGGATCAATTTTAAAGTTGAAAACTTTTTGATTTTTGTCGAGATTTTGGTCGATTTTTGGCACCACCCAATGTCGTTTTCTGCATTTATTTGAGTCCTTAAGACCTCTAGAAATGTAAAAAACGTAAAATAGATCAATTTTAAAGATAATTTTTTTTTTGTTTATTGTCGAGATTTTGGTCGATTTTTGGCACCATAACTCCGGAATTATTAGTGCTAACCTCTTATGTTTAGTACCGTTGGAAAGGAAATTCAATTTTCTATCATATACAAACAAGAACAGTTCTTCTACGATAAATAGTGCTCGAGAAAATTTCTGATAAAATCAAAAATATCGGAAATACAAATTCGACTATATAACTTCAAAACTATTACAAATTTTGCAGTTTTCTTGACGCCAATCGATTCCTCGGAACATTTTACATATGTTCAGGCCGAAATATTATATCATCGAGATACAGTTTTGTCGCAATTTACAAAATAAAATACTACCTTCAAAAACTCTTCAAAAAACTTGACCAAATAACGTTTTATGCACTTTTTTGAGTCTTTAGCACTTCTAGAAATGCAAAAAGGTTAAATAGATCAATTTTAAAGTTGAAACTTTTTTGGATTTTTGTCAAGATTTTAGTCGATATTTGGCATTTTTGCCTATTTTTATGATTTTACTCACCTTGAAAAACTCAAAAACTTCGTAATTTTTTAAACTTGACCCAGTAACGTTTTATGCATTTTTTTTTTGAGTGTTTAAGACCTCTATAAATGCAAAAAACGTTATATGGAAGAATTTTAAGGTTAAAAGTTTTTTTTCATTTTCGTCGAGATTTTGGCACCCGGAGCGGTCTATTGCCAATAACTCCGGACTTAATAAATAAATATAATAAATTAACTTAATATAATAAATTATATTTGGTACCGTTGGAAAGAAAATTAAATTTTCTATCATACACAAAAAAGATCAGTCCTCGACAATAAATAGTTATCGAGAAAATTTCTGATAAATTCAAAAATATCAAAATATTTTTATTACGAATTTTGCAGTTTTCTTGACCCCAATCGATTCCCCGGAACATTATACATATGTTTAGGTCAAAATATTAAATCATTGAGATACAGTTTTTTCTCAATTTATAAAATTTTTACATATAATACTAGTTTTTTATAAGAATAAAAAATTTTTGATTTTTTGTACAAATCCGATTTTGTACAAAAAATCAAAAATTTTTCTTCTTCTAGCCTTATTCTTAACTTTATTACTCAATATCTCAAAAATTATGCGTCGTAGAGTATTTTAACTTGTTGCATCGTGTTCAGCGCGTAATTTTACGTCTAAAAACCATATTTCAAGCGACTTTTGCCATTTTACTACCTTCAAAAACTCAAAAAATTCATAATTTTTAAAACTTGATCAAATAAAATAAAATAAATAGGAATGCAAAAAACGTTAATTGGATTAATTTTAAAGTTGAAATTTTTTTGGATTTTTGTCGGGATTTCGGTCTATTTTTGGCACCCGGAGCGGTCTATTCCCAACAACTCCGGACTTATTGGAGATAACTTCTTATATTTGGTACCGTTGGAAAGAAAATTTAATTTTCTATCGTATACAAAAAAGATCAGTGCTCTACGATAAATAGTTATCGAGAAAATTTCTGATAAATCTAAAAATATCAAAAATATAAATTCGACTATAATTTCAAAACTATTACAAATTTTGCAGTTTTCTTGACACCAGTCGATTTTCCGGAACATTTTACATAGGTCTAGGTCAAAATATTTTATCATTGAGACACAGTTCTTCCGCAATTTATAAAATAATAAAAGCAAAAATTTGTTAACACCTCTAGAATTGTAAAAAAGGTTAAACAGGTCAATTTTAAAGTTGAAAATTTTTTGGATTTTTGTCAAGATTTTAGTCGATTTATGGCACCCACAGCGGTCTAATACCAATAACTCCGGACTTATTGATGATAACCTCTTATGTTTGGTACCGTTGGAAAGAAAATTTAATTTTCTATCACATACAAAAAAATCAGTGTTTTGCATAAATAGTTATTGGTTTGTACAACCGTATTCTCCGGTTAATTTTACATACAGCACTAGTTTTTCACAAGAACCAAAAATTTTTGATTTTTTGGTCAGAATCGGATATACCTATACAAAAAATGTCGTTTCAGAAACTCCAAAATCGTCTAATGTTGAAAATATTAACATTTTTTTAAATCACAAAATCATTCACCTTTTTTATTTATTAAATGAAAATGTGAAAACCATTTCTGTTTTCGCAGGTGTCGTTTTGGCCTATTTCGAAGGCTGGTTAATGAACTGGCGAACTGTAGCATGGGTGTGCCTCGTCTACGCCATTGTTCCCTTCATTCTGGTCATGTTTATCCCCGAAAGTCCCGCTTGGTTGATAGCCAAAGGCCGAAATGAGCAAGCAAAGAAATCCATTAACTGGTTAAATAAATACCAACCACGAGTACCAATCAGTGATCAGACTTTTGCCCAAGTGCAATTCGAATATTTAATCAGAGAGCATGAAGAAAAAGAAAAAGCGAAAAATAACAATGGGGGATTCACAGCACGTGTGAAACAATTACTAAAACCCACGGGATACAAACCTTTGCTCATTCTTCTGGGCTTGTTTGTGTTTCAACAGTTTTCAGGGATTTACATCACGCTGTTTTACTCTGTTAACTTCTTTGAGGTTAGTTATCTCGATAACAATTATCGCAAATTTGACGCCGGCCGTTATTATAACGGCCTCCAACAGTTTTTAGACCTTAATAATACACTAAAATTGATGTTAATAGCTATCACAAAATTAAGAATTATTTATAACAGATAGCGGCCGAAATTATAACGGCCTCCAGCTGTTAAAAATCACAAGTTTCGAATTGCAAACTTCAGCTCTATGTTGGCTTAAAGACATTAATAACCATAAAAGAATTAAAAAGGCAATTGGATAACTGTTTATAAAATGCTAGCGGTTATTATAACGGCCTCCAGCTGTCTTTAAAATCAAATAAAACACAAAAATTAACGTTAGTAGCTATAATAGAACCAAAAAGACAAATAAAAAACTTTCCATAAAAATTGCCGGGCAAAATTATAATGGCCTCTACCTGTTAGAAACTGTCACAAGTTCAACTTTTGCAATTGTTGTTTTTCAAATGTTTAACTTTTATGTTATCATCACGTTAATGACGTTAATAACTAAAATAAAAATAAAAAGGCAAATAAAGAGCCGGCCGTCATAATAACGACCTCTAGTTTTATAACCGTTATTCTAACGGCCTCCACCTGTCTTTAAAATCAAATAAAATACCAAAATTAACATTAACAGAAGCAAAAAGACAAATAAAAAACTTTCCATAAGGGTTGCCGGTCAAAATTATAACGGCCTCCAGCTGTTAAAAATCACAAGTTTCGGTTTGCAAACTTCAGCTCTATGTTGGCCTAAGGACATTAATAACCATAAAAGAATTAAAAAGGCAATTGGAAAACTTTTTATAACAAATACTAACCGTTATTATAACGGCCTCCAGCTGTCTTTAAAATCAAATAAAACACCAAAATTATCGTTAGTGGCTATAACAGAAAATAAAAAACTTTCCATAAAAATTGCCGGTCAAAATTATAACGGCTTCTAGCTGTTAGAAATTGTCACAAGTTCAACTTCTGTAAGTGTTAGTTGTTGTTTTTCAAATGTTTAACTTTTATGTTATCATCACGTTAATGACGTTAATAACTAAAATAAAACTAAAAAGGCAAATAAAGAACCGGCCGTTTTTATAACGGCCTCCAGCTGTCTTTAAAATCAACAGAACCAAAATTACAAATAAAAAACTTTCCATAAAAATTGCCGGTCAAAATTAGCTAGCTGTTAGAAATTGTCACAAGTTCAACTTCTGCAAGTGTTAGTTGTTGCTTTTCAAAAGTTTAACTTTAATATTATCATCACGTTAATGACGTAAAACTAAAAAGCCAAATAAAGAGCCGTCATAATAACGGCCTCTAGTTTTATAACCGTTATAATGACGGCTTCCATTTTAAAAATATAATTTTGCGATTTTTTCCCCAGGAGGTGGGCAGCGGTCTTGACCCTTACTTCGTGTCGATCCTCATCGGCGGAGTCCGCTTCCTCATGTCCATCATCAACACTTACATGTTGAAAACCTTCGGCCGGCGAACTCTAATAATCTACGGTTCTGCAGCGATGGCCGTTTGCATGTTCGTCTCCGGCCTTTACACTTATTGGATCAAAGAAGGTTTGTCACAAGGCTAATCATTGACCTTCCTGGTCGTTAACCGTGAAACCCATTCCAGGTGTCACTACATTAAACTGGGTCCCAGTGGTGGCCATCCTTCTATACGTGGTCACATCCATGGTGGGTCTCTTGTCCATCCCATGGACCATGACGGCCGAATTGTTCCCTATCGAAATCCGGGGAATGGCCCACAGTATCGTCTACAGCACTGCCTACTTCATCATGTTTTTGTCAATTCAAAGTTACAATACGCTGAAGGAGACGTTTAATGGAGTCGCGGGACTTCAGTGGTTTTTCGCAGTGACTTCGTTGGCAGGCCTGGTCTATGCATATATTTTACTACCAGAAGCTCATGGGATTAAGTTGGCGGAAATACAGGAGTATTTCATGTATAATAATGTTTATATAGGCGGAAGGAAGACAAAGAAGAGTGTGGAGAGGAAGAATGAAGAACAGAAAGAAGAATTAATGAAAAACAATGTTTGATATTTATTTTTGATGACATGCAGGTTGCAAGACTGGTAATTTTAGATACTTATTATTTGTTTTAAAATAATTCTGTGACAGATTTATAAATTGTAACAAATAAATGACGTTACATTGTTTGTCCATTGTTTTTGGCACGAACCTGTACATTTTTACGCCTAGATACGGACAACCAAATATACAACCGACATTTTTTATTACTGTTTTAGATAGGTAGTACACATTGGTAAATATTAAAAAATTCAAAAAAAATGCAAAAAAGAAGATAAAATTTAAAAAAAAACTTTAAAAACTTTAGAAAGTTTATACAAGAAGCTTTTTTGTGTTTATGTTTCAAATTAAGTGTTTTCATGCTAATTATTTAAAAAAAAATGTACAAAAAACAATTGCTCCATATAAAATAAGGCAAGAAAAAAAGACAAAGCCAATATTTTTTTAAATTTATTTTTTAAGTTTTAATTTCATTTATTTAAATTTTTTTTTATTACCAGAACGATAATGATAATTTTATAAAAACATAAATTTTGTGCATTACTTTTGATTTACCCTGTATATAACACGTTTTGATGATTCATTATTAAAAAATAATAATTTAATCACAGTTATTAGTAATTTTTTTCTTGACTTAAAATATTTTACCACTCAATTATGGCTGAATTGTAAAAATTACGTTTTATGTGCACAACTTATAAACATCAGTGTTCTAAAACAATTCATTTGAAAAAAAAATATTTTCCGGTTGTACGTCACTAAAAAAATGAGAAAATATAATAAAAATTAAGCATTTGCACTTCAAAATTAGTCATAAAACTAAATAAACCACAAATTTTGCATTAAAAAATTATCGAAAATAAACTGTCAACCGACATTTTCTATTACTGTTTTAGACAGTAGGTACACTTCGTTATCTTTCTAGTAAACATAAAAAAACACAAAAAAGCAAAAAAAATACAAAAAAAAGAAGCTGAAATAAATAAAAACTTATAGAAAGTTTTATGTAAGAAGCTTTTTTGTGTTTAGGTTTCAAATTAAGTGTTTTCATGATGTTTAGTTACCAATAATTTTTTAATTTTNTGATGTTTAGTTACCAATAATTTTTTAATTTTTTTAAATTTATTTTTTTGTTTTAATTTCATTTTTTTTCTTATTATCAGAAAAACATAAATTTTGTGCCTTACTTTTGATTCACCCTGTACATAATACTTTTGATGATTTATTATTAAAAAGTAATAATTTAATCACAGTTGTTTGTCATTTGTGTCTTGACTTAAAACATTTTTCCACTCTTTTATGGCTGAATTGTAAAAATTACGTTTTATGTGCATAACAGTGTTCTAAAACAATCAATTTGAAGAAAATTTATTTTCTAGTTGTACGTCACTCAAAAAAATGAGCAAATAAAAATTAAGCATTTGCACTTAAAAATTAGTCATAAAACTGAAATAAATCACAAATTTTGCATTAAAAAATTAATAATATTGACTTTTTGTTTGTCAATTTCAAGAAAGTAAATTTACTGAGCACTTAGACGATATCGTTCTAACAAAATATTTACTTAAATACGATAAATATTTATGTTTTTAACACTTAAAAGGTGATCAGAATTAATTAAAATTGGGATTGTGTTATATGTACCTGATACGACTTTATTCAACCTTGTGTGCGACCTACTTAGGGTAATTTCCGTAATTAAATAATTCATTCTTATGACAGACTGAAATTTTATTATCCTTGTTTTTACCACCTGTGACGCTTTTTGCGTTTTTTAATATTTTATTGTTCATTACTATCAATGAAAAGATTGCATGACGTGATTTTGTGGTTTTTATTGCCCATTTATTTAATTACAATGTACACACTAATTAATTAATTTTCTCCAAAAGCATCCTCGAGGGAAACCACCGACCAAAAATTATTTAGCAATGATTGAATTATCTCACTCATGACTTCCGAATAACCACTTTTTACGTCTTCGAAAACTTCACGCCAATTATCATTCAAAACTGTGTTGATATTATCGCCCAAAGCCTTATCACCATTGAAGAGATTATCAAAATGGAAATAAACATGGCTGACGTCGAGGGATATTCGATGATCAACGAATTTCAAATATGTTTTTCCGCTTCGTTTCACAGTCTCGTATTTCACATATCCGGCAATTTTCACGTTTTCTAAAGAAAAAAATAACAAAAAATTTGAAAAAAAAAATTATTGTAACTCACTTAAAACAACTGTACTCTCCCCTTCGCCCTGTATAGGCAAAAGTAAAACCCTCCCACTTAATTGATAATCACATTTTTTCGTAACTTCAGAAATAAGACTGTCAAAGTTAAGAGTATTTTTCTCAAAATCGAATCTAAAAAAATAGTTAAAATTTTTTGTAAAAACACAAATAATTAATTACTCAAATTTTTGAAATGAAATGTGCTCAAACCCGTGTAAATTACAATTGTGGAACCGTTGTTCCACTGCAACGGCCCTTTTTCCCGACCCGATCACCAGGGTCGGAATAAGGAGCGGTTTGAGCCCTGGCAATTTTAAATCCTTGAAAGGGTGAACTAGTTGATGAATATTATATTCAGCTGCTTCTTTCACACATTTTTTAAAATCGGGATCCGAGCGTTTGCACGTTTTGAAACTGTGAGCTAAAATTTTGATTTTTTAAAATTTCCAGTTTTTTTTAAACTTACGAAATTTAACAGCTTGGCACTTGAGTGCCACCACAAGTATTATTATCACCACTTTCATGTTGTTTGCAACATTTTGTAAAATTGTGTTGTTTTATACCAAGACGTAAGTGGTTTTTTTTAAAGTTATCAAAATAATTACAATTGTAATTTCTTGTTAAAGTAGAGAATCACATTGGTCGAGATTGTAAGTCCAAGTTTTATTCAAGGCTAGGAATGTTTTTTTTTGGCTAAAAAAATGTAAACCAGATCCATTTAGTGATGATAATTTATGGCATAATTAATTTTTATGGCAATTTTCATTTAAAATTAATTAATTAGAGAAATCCGGTAGTACTTCACGTGTTCATGTGCCAAAGAAATGAAATAAACAATAAGATTCAAAATCCAGCTCAAAAACTTGAGGTTCGATCCCCAAACCAGGACTACTTTTTTTTATAAAATTTCGTAATCCATAATAAAAACTTATTAGTCATAACTGATATTTTGTCACATTTGAATTGAGTAATTAACAAGTTGTTCTATCTTGTTTGTCTGTCTCGTTTTTAAATTATAATTTTTCCATTTGTAGTAAGCACTTGGAAATTTGTTAGGTTTTGCTGGAAAATTTGAGTCAATTGAAAATTTATCTAATGAATGTTATTTTCCGTCAGAGATAAAAAAGTCTTAATGGTTTTGAGAAAAATTAAAGAGTTCGAAATAAAATTTCAGAAATTAATG